TTCTGCCCTATACTAGGGGCCATATCCTATTTTCGGCCTGTGAAATTTAGAGGTGGTTTGAAAGAGAGACTCTTTAAATTTATAAGATAATATTGATATGAGTAACCAAAAAAATGTGAAAGACTTCATGCAACCCTTCGACCCCTGTCTGTTGGGGGGGGGGGTGTTGCAACCCCCGAATGGGTTAAATATTATTATTATATATAAAATTAAAATTTCCTTTTCATTTAATTTTATATTGCTTATATTTGCGATAATAGCTAAATCGTAAATGTATGACTTTATATTATTATTTGACTGTTATATTGTTATTTAGCTTATGTTGTTAGGATGTATATAAAATGTGCTCAGTTAGTCTTGATTGTCAAACTACTGTAATTATCGCTTGTCGCTCGTTATACTGCCGGCTTCTGAGCTGCACTTGTCCACGGAGCTATCACGTGATCGAGGGGGGGTGTCCTCACCTCTCGTGAAGTAGTCAGTCTGCTGTAGACTCGCTTGGTGGTTGGACAGATTGTCTGTCTCATTATTCTTGTTCTGTAGAACTTTGTTCACAGAACATTGTAAAGACTTTGTGATTTTCGACGTTGTACTGAGGTTGTGTGTCGCTTAGACACTCTGAGTATCTCAGGTCCTTAGCTATAGCTTCTGACCTAATTTTGTACTGGTTCCTGTGTATTGTCACAGTCACAGTTTTTCCTATGCTGAACATAGATTCAGTATTATGGGAGTTTTGTAACTTTTGTGGAGGATCTGCTGATGGTCCCTACTTAGTGTCGTTATATTATTTCCCAGTTCCTGATTCTGTGTCGCAGTCGCTTGATATTGCATTGCTATTGGGCTTAGCATTCTTTGTTGTTCAAGCAGACTGTTCGGGTTGCCAGTCGGTCAAGAAGTTAGTTTATTTGAGGACTTTGTCAGTCACTTGTTTAAGTCTTATTCGAGTCTTGAGACATAGCTAACTACTTAAGATCACTTAAACGCATACACACACTTACTTGTACATATTTGTAATATCTTATTAAATGTTAATGTACCAGACGGTACTTAAGAATTATAAATGTGATATGTGCTTTCAGCACAATAATATTGAACTCGAGAGATTGATTTTATTTTGATTGCTGTGATTTAATTTAATTTAATAATATACCTCTAGACTTAATAAATTTATTAAATTTTAATTTCTCTAGTTAGTAGCCTACCAGTTGTAATCCTAAAGCACTATTGAACCATACTGAATTTTAATGGATAATTGGACAAGGATACTGACTACTTGTTACGAAAACCCAGTAACAGGCTGGATGCTAGAAGGGCAGTCCTTTCTAGTATTCACTGGAGATCTCTAAGCTTTTACAATCGCGTTTTTTGTAACACTAGGACTGAGTAAACTGGCGGGAATAATAACTAGGACTGAGTAAACTGGCGGGAATAATAACTAGGACTGAGTAAACTGGCGGGAAATAAATAACTAGGACTGAGTAAACTGGCGGGAATAATAACTAGGACTGAGTAAACTGGCGGGAATAATAACTAGGACTGAGTAAACTGGCGGGAATAATAACTAGGACTGAGGAAACTGGCGGGAATAATAACTAGGACTGAGTAAACTGGCGGGAATAATAACTAGGACTGAGTAAACTGGCGGGAATAATAACTAGGACTGAGTAAACTGGCGGGAATAATAACTAGGACTGAGTAAACTGGCGGGAATAATAACTAGGACTGAGTAAACTGGCGGGAATAATAACTAGGACTGAGTAAACTGGCGGGAATAATAACTAGGACTGAGTAAACTGGCGGGAATAATAACTAGGACTGAGTAAACTGGCGGGAATAATAACTAGGACTGAGTAAACTGGCGGGAATAATAACTAGGACTGAGTAAACTGGCGGGAATAATAACTAGGACTGAGTAAACTGGCGGGAATAATAGCTAGGACTGAGTAAACTGGCGGGAATAATAACTAGGACTGAGGAAACTGGCGGGAATAATAACTAGGACTGAGTAAACTGGCGGGAATAATAACTAGGACTGAGTAAACGGGCGGGAATAATAACTAGGACTGAGGAAACTGGCGGGAATAATAACTAGGACTGAGGAAACTGGCGGGAATAATAACTAGGACTGAGTAAACTGGCGGGAATAATAACTAGGACTGAGTAAACTGGCGGGAATAATAACTAGGACTGAGTATACTACAAACTCCAATGACACAGTAGAGCGGAAAAGTAATGTGAAGGACCTGGGAGTGGTAATGTCTGAGGATCTCACCTTCAGGGATCACAACAGCGCAACTATCACATCTGCGAGGAAACTGATAGGATGGATAATGAGAACATTCAGAATAAGAGATGCCAAGCCAGTGAAGGTTTTTTTCAAATCACTTGTTCTCTCTAGGCTGGAATACTGCTGTACATTAACATCTCCATTAAAGGCATTCAATTGCAGACCTAGAGAATGTACAGAGAACCTTTACTACACACAGAAATCACTCTCTACGAAAGCAAAAGACTTGGAAGGTGATGCAACATACCCCCAGTGAAAAGTAGGAGCGCCATTAGTACACTAAGAGAAAACACAGTAAGTGTATGGGGCCCAAGGCTGTTCAACAGCCTCCTACCAGCCATAAGAGGAATTACCAATAGTCCCCTAGTTGTCTTCAAGAGGGAGCTGGACAGATAGTGCCAGATCAGCCGGGCTGTGGTTCGTACGTCGGACTACGTGCGACCAGCAATAACAGCCTAGGTGATCAGGCCCTAATCCACCAGGAGGCTTGGTCATGGACCGGGCCGCGGGGACGCTGACCCCCCGGAATACCCTCCTGGTAGACTCCTTATAAGAGCCAGGTTAACCAGGTTGTGATGGATAAGTGAATCATGGGGCCACCAGCAGCAGCTGTTGGTTGATCAGGCAAGCACAAGATGAACCTGGCCTATGGCCGGGCTCCGAGAGTAGAAACACTGGGAAATTATGAAAAGATTGATTATCAAAGGAGGTGGAGACAGATGTGAGGGAGTGTGGGAAGCTGTTGGTGTCATCTGTGTGGCTGGCCGGAGGTGGGGGCGGGAGGTTGTGGAGGTTATGGTGGGAGGGGGGAGGAGACCTTAAGTTGTAACGGAAGATCGGAGGGAGGGAGGAAGGAAGGATGGGAAGGAGGGTGGGAGGGAGGTAGTGGGAGGAGGATAGAGACAGGGGGGTAGTAGGGAAGTTGTGGAAAGACTGTTGGGAGGGGAGTTGGTGGGGAGGGACGGGGGAGTTACTAAAATTATTAAGTACCCCTTGAGTACCTCCATCAGGTAATGTCGCACCTCCATCAGGTACTGTCGCACCTCCAGCAGGTACTGGCGCACCTCCAGCAGGTACTGTCGCACCTCCATCAGGTACTGTCGCACCTCCAGCAGGTACTGTCGCACCTCTAGCATGCAGGAAGCAGAGAGTCTGCATAAATGGAGTGAAATATGAACGGGGATCAATCACAAGCGGTGTTCCACAAGGATCAGTTTTAGGGCCGTTGTTGTTGTTGTTGTTGTTGTTGTTGTTGTTGTTGTTGTTGTTGTTCATAATATACATTAATGACCTTGACGTGGGAATAACAAGTGATATGAGCAAATTTACTGATGATACAAAAATAGGCAGAATAATTGATTCAGAGGAAGATGCCACTGAACTTCAGGAGGATTTAGACAAGCTCATGTCTGGTCAGAAAAATGACAGATACAGATTGCGAAAAGAACTTAAAATTTATGGTAAGAACCTGAAACCAAGACAACCGTGCTTAAGCGTACGTAATAAGGCAGATTACTGGGATTTATATCAAGAACTGTAAACACCAGGAGTCCAGAGGTTATACTTCAGCTCTACACATCATTAACATGAGTGAAGTGTATAAGTGGAAAATGAACATTAACAACGATGTTAATAAGGTACGCAGGTCCAGGGGTTTCATAACATGGCACAGACGTACCTATTTCTTTCGCTAGCAGGGGCAGCAAGGGTAGCAGGGGAATAAGGACATACGTTACCGTGGGAGAGGAGGGATCCAGGGGTCACAAGTGACTGGGAAAGGTTGAAGGGTGTCAAGAGTGATGGCCCAGGGTCACGCCCCTTCATTACAGGATCACGCCCCTTCATTACAAGGTCACGCCCCTTCATTACAAGGTCACGTCCCTTCATTACAAGGTCACGCCCCTTCATTACAAGGTCACGCTCCTTCATTACAAGGTCACGCCCCTTCATTACAAGGTCACGCTCCTTCATTACAAGGTCATGCTCTTTCATTACAAGGTCACGCCCTTTATTACAAGGTCACGCCCTTCATTACAAGGCCACGCCCTTCATTACAGGGTCACGCCCTTCATTACAAAGTCACGCCCTTCGTTACAAGGTCACGCCCTTTATTACAAGGTCACGCCTTCATTACAAGGTCACGCCTTCATTACAAGGTCACATCCTTCATTACAAAGTCACGCCCTTCATTACAAGGTCACGCCCTTCGTTACAGGGTCACGCCCTTCGTTACAGGGTCACGCCCTTTATTACAAGGTCACGTCCTTCGTTACAAGGTCACGCCCCTTCATTACAGGGTCACGCCCCTTCATTACAGGGTCACGCCCCTTCATTACCAGGGTAAAGAAGGGAGGGAGGGAGGTATGGCACACGGGCTGGTGTTAAGTGGGGCAGGGTGCTGTACCTGCCCTGCCCTCCCTGCCCCTGCTCACCTACATGGGTCAGGTGGTCGATAATTAGGTAGGATAAGCTGGGATTACACTGAATGGGCTGACACTTGTACGTGGGATGGAGACTGATGTCAGTGGAACGCCTTCCAACTGAACAAAAGAAACTAATGGAAAAATAAATAAATAAAGAAATGATTTAAGGAAAAACAAGATAAAATGATTTTTGAGAATTTTACTTAAAATTTAAATATAATAAAAAAAAATATGGCCTTCAATTCAGGTAGTTGGGTAGGAGTAGGTATGGCCCTAGATAGTTCCTCTGATGTTATTTATGTAGGTTATCCTGGGCAGATGGTAATCCGATGTTCTGGAATCTCCTACCACTTGGATGGAGCACAAGTAGTATAGGTAAGGGCCGGTAGTTGTAGAATAATGTTAATAAGTATTATTAACACACGTCTTGCCCCTTTATCTGGCGTCTATCCTGGAAGACCACGCCAGGAACAGAGCTGACAAATAAGAGAAAATAAAACTGGTTACCCATAGTCATGATAATATAACATCTAAGAAAGAAAAAGAATGATAAAGGCCAAAATCATTACTGGTAACCAGCAAACACTAGAAAAGAACAAACAGTAATACTCCTGGTAGATCACCCTACCTGATTAGGAGAAGAGTGGAGGCGAAGTGACTCTCCAAACTTCCATCCACACCAGGTAAGGTCAATATTACCAGGAGTAGAAACTTTAACAAATCGGACACCAGGAACTAGTTTTGCCCCAGCCCGCCAGAGAGGGGGGGTGTGTGCGCGCGCAACGTAACTCTCTAATGGTTCCTGGTTGCCCGAACAACCTTAACCCCACTTACACCTACTTTTCCCTCACAACTGACACTTGTACATGGGAGGGAGACTGCCACTTGTACGTGGAAAGGAGGCTGACATTTGTACGTGGGAGGAAGACTGACGCTTGTACGTGGGAGGGACGCTGACACTTGTACGTGGAAGGGAGGCTGACACTTGTACGTGGGAAGGAGACTGACACTTGTATTTCACGTGGGAGGCAGGCTGACACCTGTATCACACGTGGGAGACAAGCTGACACTCTTGTCAGCCATACTTGTCAGGAAGGCTGTCAAGTTGGTTATCCTGGTCTTGCCGGTAGTCAGCTCCTCCCACGGCGTATGCTGTCAGTGGCCCTATGAACCCCCAACAACAAGACTATGACTTCAAGCTGACAGCTTGTTTAGTTAGGCTGACCAACGTTATGCACCAAAGCCCGGCTGATCAGGAGCTGACTTAATCTACTCGCCAAGTTGTTTCTGGAAGACAACCAGAGGTCTGTTGGTAAGTCCCCTTTGATACATGAAGGTAGCGTTGAATAAGACATAGTGCGTGTGTTTAGACATACCTGGAGTCGACCTACCTGGAGGGTTTTCCGGGGATCAATGCTCCCCTGGCCCGGTCCACGACCAGGCCTCCCAGTAGATCAGGGCCTGATCAGTCAGGCTGTTACTGCTGGCCGCATATAGAACATCTTTAGACATACTGGGTATCTTTAGACATACTGGGTGTCTTTAGACATACTGGGTATCTTTAGACATACTGGGTGTCTTTAGACATACTGGGTATCTTTAGACATACTGGGTATCTTTAGACATACTGGGTGTCTTTAGACATACTGGGTATCTTTAGACATACTGGGTGTCTTTAGACATACTGGGTATCTTTAGACATACTGGGTATCTTTAGACATACTGGGTATCTTTAGACATACTGGGTATCTTTAGACATACTGGGTATCTTTAGACATACTGGGTATCTTTAGACATACTGGGTATCTTTATTGCCAAAACGTGTCGCCTGCCCCTCAGTCTTCTTCAGTTCAATACAACACAGGAGACAGTAAAAGAAATAGATTTAATGTGATCAGTCAGCCTTCATAGGTGGTGGTCAGTCCCTCAAGTCTGAGAGAGAGTGTGCGAAAGTGAAAGTCGGGTAAGTTTTCATTGTTTTACGTACACAATCCTGGGTGTTAGTGTGTCAGTGGAGGCTGCGTGTCTAGTGCCATCACAGTGGACGGCTACGTAATAATAATACTTATTATTATTTCTACAAGTACATGATACAAGGTATAGAGACCATAGCTGACATCAATCACATACTGCTGTATAGAAAGCCGCTTGTTATGCTGAGTATTTGGGGCAAGTTATGTTAATTTTGTCCCAGGGTGCGGCCCACACCAGTCGACTAACACTCAGGTACGTGCTTACTGTTAGGTGAACATGGACAGCAGGTGTCTTAAGGTAACAAGTCCTAATGTTTCCACCCGGGGATCGAACCATGGAGTTCAGTGTGTGAGCTGAGTGCGCTACCAACCCAGCTACAGGACAACGAAAGAGGGGCCAAAAGAGCGTCATCTCTCACCAGACAAAATGACGGCGCACATTTCGAATTTCTGCGCACGTTTTTTTTTTCTATGAGGTTTGAATAAAACAGGTTTTTCGGCGCTGACTGAAGCAATAAAGTCTGACGCCCCGTCTGGTTTACTTTCTGTAGTGAACCATCATCTTCCTTTACGCATCTCCTGACCTGACCTGACCTGCCTCGCGCCACCCCTTGACACACAAGTCACAACCCATACGCCAAGGACCTGCTCGACTCTTGGTACTGGTACTAGGATTCCATCCTAGTCCACTCTAGTAGTGAAGGAAGCAACTAGGACTGACGCTGTTCCTCGTTGAGAGGTGCTAGTGTGTTATATAGTGGGACATTGTTCAACTAGTAAGACCAACTAGGAGGAACTGCTAGTAGCAGAGCCTACAAGCAGGACCTATTACTAGGAGGACCTGCTAGTAGGAGGAACTACTAGTAGGAGAGAAGCTACTTGTTGCTCCTGCTTCTTGTGGTCTGGACCTCTTCCTAGTGGTCCTGGATTTTTTAAGAGTGGTCCTAGACGTCTTTCTTATCATAGACTTCTAAATATTCACTTGTCAGTAATTCCCAGTATTTTCTTCAATATATATATATATATATATATATATATATTATATATATATATATATATATATATATATATATAAAATATATATGTGTGTGTGTGTGTGTGTGTGTGTGTGTGTGTGTGTGTGTAATTTGACTAAGGTTAAACTAACGTGTGGAGGGAAGTTAACGTATAAATTTAAAGACGGTTTAAAACAAGGTAGTAGTGCGGGAGGTCGGTGGAGGTCACACTTCCATGATGTTGCGGAGATCAACCAATCAGCGTGGGTCAATTTGGCGCGCAGCTTTGCCATTGGTTGAGAGGGGCGCATGCGTGGGCACGGGTGGGTTCTCACCCCCCATCCATTCCTGGCGGGCGTAGTGAAGATGGGTATGTCAACAGTCAGTAGTAATAGGTGGCAGCATGCCAAGAGTGAGTGTTGGGGGGATGGAGGGAGGGGGGGGTGTTGTACGTCAGTACTGTCAGTGGAGGAGGGGGTGTTGTGCGTCAGTACTGGTCAGTGGAGGGAGGGGGGTGTTGTACGTCAGTACTGGTCAGTGGAGGGAGGGGGGTGTTGTACGTCAGTACTGGTCATTGGAGGGAGGGGGTGTTGTACGTCAGTACTGGTCAGTGGAGGGAGGGGGTGTTGTACGTCAGTACAGGTCAGTGGAGGGAGGGGGGTGTTGTACGTCAGTACTGGTCAGTGGAGGGAGGGGGTGTTGTACGTCAGTACTGGTCAGTGGAGGGAGGGGGTGTTATCAATACTGGTCAGTGGAGGGAGGGGGGTGTTGTCCGTCAGTACTGGTCAGTGGAGGGAGGGGGGTGTTATACATCAATACTGGTCAGTGGAGGGACGGGGTGTTGTACGCCAGTACTGTTCAGTGGAGGGTGTGGATGTTGTGCGTCAGTACTGGTCATTTGAGGGATTGGGTGTGTTTTACGTCAGTATTGGTCAGTGGAGGGTGGGGGTGTTGTACCTCAGTTCTGGTCAGTGGAGGGATGAGGGTGTTGTACGTCAGTACTGGTCAGTGGAAGGAGGGGGTGTTGTATGCCAGTACTGGTCAATGGAGGGAGGTGGTGTTGTATATCAATACTCGTCAGTGGAGGGAGGGGGTGTTGTACGTCAGTACTGGTCAGTGGAGGGAGGGGGGTGTTGTACGTCAGTACTGGTCAGTGGAGGGAGGGGGGGTGTTGTACGTCAGTACTGGTCAGTGGAGGGAGGGGGGTGTTGTACGTCAGTACTGGTCAGTGGAGGGAGGGGGTGTTGTGCGTCAGTACTGGTCAGTGGAGGGAGGGGGGTGTTGTACGTCAGTAACTGGTCAGTGGAGGGAGGGGGTGTTGTACGTCAGTACTGGTCAGTGGAGGGAGGGGGTGTTGTACTTCAGTACTGGTCAGTGGAGGGAGGGTGGTGGTGTACGTCAGTACTGGTCAGTGGAGGGAGGGGGGTGTTGTACGTCAGTACTGGTCAGTGGAGGGAGGGGGTGTTGTACGTCAGTACTGGTCAGTGGAGGGAGGGTGGTGGTGTACGTCAGTACTGGTCAGTGGGGGAGGGTGGTGTTGTACGTCAGCACTGGTCAGTGAAGGGTGTGGGTGTTGTACTTTAGTACTGGTCAGTGGAGGGTGGAGGGTCACCAACTGTAACCAGGCTTGCTGTAATTGCTATGCAAGCTGAAAGTAATCAATTACATTTTTTAGTAATTGTAATTGCTGTCAAGCTCTAACGTGCTTCAATTACATAGTCAGACTGAGGCACTATGATGGACTAATGACAGAATGGAAGTATACCTCAAATGGCACACGGGTTTACATTCTGAAGTGTGATTGTCATTGTCTGTGTCACGTCCGGTACTGGTACTGCCCAGATGGAGGCTGCTATTGCAAAAGAATTACAAGATCTTAACAGAGTTGATCTAACGTCAAATCTTTGGACCAGTTGCAAGATGATCTCATTCCTCGGGGCAACAATTCACTTTATGTGCAAAAACTGGGTAGTGAAGTTTAAGAGTTCTTGTTTGTGATATATACGGCGAGTGACTTGCTGTCTTCAACATAGCAACTGCTTACGAGGAGTTGCTTGACGGTTATGCTATCAGAGACACCATAAACAAGGCTGTAGCAGACAATCCCTCATCAGTAATTAAGGTTGTTGATGTCTCTCCCTGGGTTTTACGGTTACTTATCAGCGTCCTGGTCTACCAAAACACACAACCTGCTGGGCCCACACTCACCACCTTTATATAAAAGATGGTCTCACTGATCCTGAGGTCGATAATTCTTTTTATTATCCACAGCAATTCGACTGATATCTTCTCTTGGGAATTCAATATTTATTAAAAATTATCTTATATCTGTAACAGTAATTAATGTACGAAGCGAGACTTATCTAGTTGAAATGTTGGTGGAACTTTGGCTGGTTGACTGTAGCAAATACAGTGGACCCCCGGTTAACGATATTTTTTCACTCCAGAAGTATGTTCAGGTGCCAGTACTGACCGAATTTGTTCCCATAAGGAATATTGTGAAGTAGATTAGTCCATTTCAGACCCCCAAACATACACGTACAAACGCACTTACATAAATACACTTACATAATTGGTCGCATTCGGAGGTAATCGTTATGCGGGGGTCCACTGTATTATGTACATCTTCTCCATCTGCTCGACTCAGACTGAAAAATTAACTAATGATATTCTTTTGTTTTGTTCAGGTACAGAAATGTAACTATACTACTACTGCTACTACTACTGCCACTACTACTAGTAGTAGTAATAATAATAATTTTGTATTTCTACAAATATATGATACACAAAAGGAGGCGCTGACCAGGGAAG